ATTAAAGACAATGATTCAGGATCCTCCAAGGCGTGGATTTATTAAAGAAAATTATTTCAAAGTCCTTTAAGGCGTGGATTTATTAAAGAAAATTATTTCAAAGTCCTTTAAGGCGTGGATTTATTAAAGAAAATTATTTGAGGGTCCTTTAAGGCGTGGATTTATTAAAGAAAATTATTCAGGATCCACCAAGGCGTGGATATTAAAGAAAATACAGAAAATTATTCAGGATCCACCAAGGCGTGGATTTATTAAAGAAAATTATTTTAAAGAAAATTATTCAGGACCATCAAGGCGTGGATTTATTAAAGAAAATTATTTCAATGGGACCATCAAGGCGTGGATTTATTAAAGAAAATTATTTTAGGGACCATCAAGGCGTGGATTTATTAAAGAAAATTATTTTAGGGACCATCAAGGCGTGGATTTATTAAAGAAAATTATTTTAGGGACCATCAAGGCGTGGATTTATTAAAGAAAATTATTTTAGGGACCATCAAGGCGTGGATTTATTAAAGAAAATTATTTTAGGGACCATCAAGGCGTGGATTTATTAAAGAAAATTATTTTAGGGACCATCAAGGCGTGGATTTATTAAAGAAAATTATTTTAGGGACCATCAAGGCGTGGATTTATTAAAGAAAATTATTTTAGGGACCATCAAGGCGTGGATTTATTAAAGAAAATTATTTTAGGGACCATCAAGGCGTGGATTTATTAAAGAAAATTATTTTAGGGACCATCAAGGCGTGGATTTATTAAAGAAAATTATTTTAGGGACCATCAAGGCGTGGATTTATTAAAGAAAATTATTTTAGGGACCATCAAGGCGTGGATTTATTAAAGAAAATTTTTTAATGTCCAACTCAGGCGAGGATTTATTAAAGAAAATTATTAGGGACCATCAAGGCGTGGATTTATTAAAGAAAATTATTTTAGGGACCATCAAGGCGTGGATTTATTAAAGAAAATTATTTTAGGGACCATCAAGGCGTGGATTTATTAAAGAAAATTATTTTAGGGACCATCAAGGCGTGGAAATTTATTAAAGAAAATTATTTATTAAAGAAACCATCCACCAAGGCGTGGATTTATTAAAGAAAATTATTCAGGATCCACCAAGGCGTGGATTTATTAAAAATTATTTTAGGGATCATCAAGGCGCGGATTTATTAAAGAAAATTTTTTTAGTGGCCATTAAGGCCTCGATTTATTAAAGAAAATTATTTTGGGGACCATCAAGGCGTGTCTGAACTTTAGAAAATTCTATTAAGGTCCATCAATACGCGTCTGAATTTTAGAAAATTCTATTAAGGTCCATAAAGACGCGTCTGAATTTTAGAAAATTGTATTAAGGTCTATCAAGACGTGGATTTACATTAGAAAATTACTTTAAGTCCCATCAAGGCGGGCATTTATATTAGAAAATTATTTTAAGGTCCATTAAGGCGTACCTGAATGTTAGAAAATTATTTTTAAGCGCATCGAGGCGTGTCTGAATTGTAGAAAATTATTTGTAGATCCATCAAGGCGTGTCTGAAGTTTAGAAAATTATTTTGAGAACAATCAAGGCTTGCCATTTGTAAAGAAAATAATTTTTGGGGTCCATTAAGACTTGCAATTAATTTAGAATTAAATTGCCGCCCAGCATTCTGCCACCGTTGAATTTAATTGGCAGATAAAATTGATTTGACCTCTAATTTGATAGAATTATTACGAAGTTTTATTGCTTTAGTTGTAGTTGTTGTTGCTATTGTGTTTTGGATAGTCTCTCGCCTTTAGCACCCAACACATGAAACTTTCTAGCTTTAATGATGATGTTGTTGATGTCGATGCTGATAATGACTGGAGACAATTGATCGGCTTGGAAAATTAAATCATACAACACCTCAAAATTTAGCTTGGACTGCCCAAGCGAGAATTTTGGGCTATACAATTTTTATATCTCTTTGTTGTTGTGCTGTTGTTTTAATTTATTTATTTGTGTATTTTTTTATTTGCTTGTAAGGTGCGTGCGTGTGGCCATTCGCTTCTTGTTAAAGACCTTTCGGCATAAATTATAATTGTAGTAGTAATTAAGTTGTTGTATTTGTATAGTTTTCATTTTATTATAGTTTCCTATAAACAAAAAAATATTATTCACACCATTGTTTTTTTCGAAAAGAGGAAGAAATATTTGTCGATTTGTAGGTGAAATATATGTGGCGCCCAACAGTTTTTGGGTGGGAATTCAAGACTACTGACCATAATATCCATCAATCCTGGGGTTATCTAAGAGACAAGGTATTACAATAATGACTTCCAATTAAGGTCAACCATGGGAATCTTATAAATCTAAAACGGACATAATTTCCTAGTGGTGGTCAACAAAGGAGCCTTAGGGAAATAAATCTTTTTAAATTGAATTTTATTTGTCTCTTATAATAATGGAGGAAAGATTGGCGAACCCTCGTGACTTGTTCATATATTTTTTGCTTTTTAAATCCTCCCTGGGATTTTGGATATTTTGCATAGACTTCCGAAAACATTTTCCTATGCTACAATAGCTCTGTTCGCATTCACTTGCCACACCAAATACAAATGAATTAAATATTAATTTTTTGTGGACTGTTTAAAGTCAACTTAACGGCAATGTTTGATGTGACTTCGCTGAGTTGCATATGGTGTCCACACACAAGTATGCCGTTGCGGATGTCCGACACCCCCAGCTGTGGTTGTTTCAACAAACTTCAATAATTTCTGAAACTAAATTAAATTCTGTTTTCCAATAAATTTTTCAACACTTGATCCGAAGCATGATTGTGTGTCTGCAGTGGAGACACACAAGCGGCTTTTTTCAACTGGTAATGCAAAATATTGTAGGCGCTGTCGGCGACAAATGTTGTTGCTATTGACCAGGGGTCAATATAACAGCCACATGACATCATTCACATAACATGGAATGATGTTCAGAATAATTTTAAAATTTAGCTGAAATTCAGAATAAAATTAGAAACGGAATGAAATTTCCCAATGAAAATTCAGGAAAAATAGGATTTCCTTCTAACCATAAAATTTCGTAGAAATTCTGGTATTCAAATATCAACGTCTAGCCATATGAGGTCAATAATCAAACTCAACATAACCACACACACACACTGAAACTCACATTTTCCCATCTAACTTTCATTTAATAATTTCAAATTAGCGCGAGAGAAAAATGCATGCCGACCACAAACCACAAATGCCATAAAGGGGCCGGAGGCAGATGAACTACCAAGGATGAAGTTTTTAAAAACATTTCACACTTTTACTTCGATTGCTCATTGAATAGAGGTAATAAGTAAAATGCCACTTGCTATGTTCGGCTGGACCGAACATTTGATACCTTCCACGGGAAGGAGGTAACCACTATTAAGGGGATTTTTTTCTAAAGAAAATGTATCGATCTAATTAAGAACATTATTTTAGGTGCCATCAAGGTATGGATTTATCAAAGGAAATTATTTTAGGGTTCATCAGAGCGTGCATTTATTAAAGATAATTATTTTAAGGTTCATCAAGGCATGTTTAAGGTAAAAAATTTGTCAAAAGGCGATTTTAAGGGATTCGGTGTAGTCGATAAATTTCAATTTCAAAATTATAGAAATCTAAAAATAGTTACGTTTCTTTTTAATGCTGGATGGTGAAGAAAAAAATCGAGAGGATTAATGGGGAAAATTCGGATAAAACGGGGACTGAAAGCGTATCAAATAAATTCGGCAAATTTGATTTTTACCACCAAGAACCTTCAATGCCTAATTATAAGCATGTCGTTGGGAAAATAAGGCTGGAAATTTAACATTACCGAAATCAGGGTCAGCATCTTTGTATGAAGGCGATGTAAAAAATTGGAAAAAAAATTGAAAAAAATCGGTAAAAATTGGGAATTTCAAGGCTTGGATTTTTTTAATAAATCCACTCCTTGTTAAGGTCCCTGAAAAATACCTTTTTAATAAATCCAGAATATTCGGTTAAAGAGCCAATGATACCGAAAATGTCATAAGACCTTTAAATGGGACCTATTTAAAAAAAAAAAAAAATTGTCCAATACAGACAATTTTCCGTCAAAATTCCCTCCGATATCCCTTATTACAGCCACTACAATGAGAAAAAATTTCCAAAATTCTGAAAATGGCTGGCTACCTTTATATGAAGGCTAGATAAAAACAGAGATCTATATTGATCGTCGCTGAGGTACATCAACCTGCAAAACCCCAAAATTATCATATAGAGCCTTTTCGGTTGGATATGCTGTAAAAATCCTCAAAATACCAAAAACTGGCGGGAACTTTTTATTGAAGCTATGTCGAAATATAGTCCTATATTGATCATTTTCTGTATACATATGTATGTCAGCCTTCAAGAATCCTTTATAGCAAATTATGGGGCTGTAATTTGAGGCTAAAGGCGTTCAAATATCGAAAATGTGGAGGAACCTTTATGGGAGATATACCCAAACGTTAATTGATGTTGTTAATTGTTGTTGTACCCAAGCCCTCACAAATATCCAGAATAATGTGGGGTGCATTTAAAATATTTAAAAAGGTTCTGGAAGCTTATACGGGGGCTATATATATGTACTCCATGTTGCAAATTGCCTGCCCAGAGAATTTTTATGTCATTTACATATATTCGACCTATTTGGGAAATTCGACAAGAACCTTCTGCACATAGAAAATGAATTGCCATACAATTAAAACCAGATAAAAAATTAAACTCCCAATAAAATTTCTTCTAAGACTAAAACAGCTGTCAGGTTACCTTACCCATCCATCAGCATTGACCCAATTCCATACTGTTTGAACAATTGCATTTGTGTGAAGAAACGGAATTTCGATACCCCAAATAACAACTTACAACCATTTCCCAAAGTGTCACACTGCGATCACTATATAAACCTTTGGAAATTTCAATAACAGCATCAAATTCATTTGATTACTCCTCTAAGCATCAGCCTTTCTCAGACAGGGAGTTCCAAAATGAAATTAACATTACTTGTGCTGTGTGTAGCCCTTTTGGGTTCGAATGCCATGGTGAATGGCTTCTTCTTTGGTGGCAAAGGTGGTGCCAATGGTGGCGGTGGCTTTGCTGCCAAACTTTGTGCCATGGGTAAAACCCAATTCTGTACCACCGCACCAACTGTTGCCCCTACCACCACTACAACGACAACAGCACCCACTGCACCAACCACGCCAACAACTCCAACCACCACAGGCACTGGTACTGGTACAGCACCAACTGCTACCGGTACTACAACTTCAACTGGTTCTGGAACTTCACCTACTGGTACAGGTACTGCACCTACTGGCGGTGGTACTTCACCCACTGCTGGTGGCGGTGGTACTACACCACCTGCTACTTCTCCTACTGGAAGTGGTGGTGCCACACCACCAGCTACTTCACCAACAGCCCCTGCACCAGCACCAACCTCACCACCTGCCGCAACAGCACCATCACCAGCACCCACAGCTACAGCGCCATCGCCAGCACCAACAGCTACAGCACCAGCACCAGCCCCAACAGGTACAGCCCCAGCACCAACTCCCCGTGCCTTGGCTCTGGATGAAATTGAGGAGAATGAAATTGAAGCCGCCTCCGTTGATGAGGATGAAAATGCTCTGGCCGATGATGAAGATGATGAGGGAGAACGTGCTCGCCGCCGTCGTCGTATGCGCCGTACTCGCCGTCGCCAAAGACGTAATCGTCGTAACCGTCGCAACAAGGCAGCTCGTCGTAATCGCAAAATCCGCCGCAATCGCAGGCTACGCCGCCAGCGTAAAAATCGTGCTGTGAGACGTCGTCGCATTACCCGTCGCCGCAGGAAGAACAGGAGTGGTTAAGGGAATTCCAATTTGAGCAAAGAGCGATTTTCAAGGATTTGTTATAAAACTCAATGATTTAATAAAATAGTGAGAAATATTTCCAAATAAATTGATGTTATTTTATTGCGGAGTAGTGGAGGGTGGTAGAAACGTAAGGGTTTTCTCTATCATACAAAACCGGAATTCTGTCTAAGGAAATATTTTTGATAACCTTTCAGATGATGTGATGCGGAGAAATTTCTTATTGATTACCATCAATAGGCATATTCGAAGTACAAATTAAAGGACTTCTGTTAAGGAAGGACTTTCAGCAAGTGATGTACCAATAGATGTTGTGAATCCAATTTTCCTATATACGATCTTTTAAGGCCTGTATGTTTGTAAGTTACCCTCGAGAGGCGATCTTATAAATATAGACAAACAATGGAAGGTCCTTATGTATATAAAGAAACTTCAGCTGGATTTAACTCCATGGACAATTATTATGTATTATTTTCTACCTATAGAGGACTTTTCAACTATAGAAGTCCTTTAGAAGGTATACGGCCCGTAAAGACTTACCTCAGGTTTCATAGTAGAAAATTTAACAGTTCAGTTTAAAAAGTATTTTCTGAATCGTAGATCCATCCATAATAGGTATCAATGAGGACTTTTTCAGAGAACCATCCCATCCTGACAATAGGCGTAGATTTTTTAAATGACTATTTTTTCACAGGTCTATCTGAGGCGTGGATTTTTTAAATGAATATTTTTCAGAGGACCAAAAGGCGTGGATTTTTTAATTAATATTTTTAGAGGTCTATCTTAGGCTTGGATTTTTTAAATGAATATTTTTTTAGAGGTCTATCTTAGGCTTGGATTTTTTAAATGAATATTTTTAGAGATCTATCTTAGGCGTGGATTTTTTAAATGAATATTTTTCCAAAGGTCTATCTGAGGCGTGGTTTTTTTTTAAAGTAGTATTTTTCAGAGGTCTATTTGAGGCGTGGATTTTTTAAATGAATATTTTTTCAGAGGTCTATCTGAGGCGTGGATTTTTTAAATGAATATTTTTCCAAAGGTCTATCTGAGGCGTGGTTTTTTTTTAAATTAGTATTTTTCAGAGGTCCATCTGAGGCGTGGATTTTTTAAATGAATATTTTTCCAAAGGTCTATCTGAGGCGTGGATTTTTTTAATGAATATTTTTTCAGAGGATCATCAACAACCTTCCTTACTTATATACAGTTTAAAAAGTTGCCAATGATAGTAAACAGCTTACCCTGCAGTTGCAACTTCTTGACAGATTCAATCTCCTTCATTCGTTTAGCTATCAGCGAAAATAACAACATTCATAGCACAGATGCGCCAGGCAGCAACAGCACAGCTTCCTTAGTAACTTGGTCAATATCAGAGGCGAGACAGGATACGATATGGAATCTAAGCAGACGAAAAAGAAGAAAACTAAATAAAAAGGGAATCAGACAAACATGTAAAGACGTCAACAACTTTAATAAAATTTCATGACATCTGTCCAATATGTCATGATAACTGTGGCTTATATTGCAACAACATGTTTAAGCCCGAATCATATCAGGACAATATTGAACTGCTGCTTAATATTAAAAAAGAAAGAAAATCCTTCTTTAATAAATCCACGCCATGGATAGGCCTTGAAAAAAGTCTTCTTTAATAAATCCACGCCATGGATAGGCCTTGAAAAAAGTCTTCTTTAATAAATCCAAGCCTTGGATGGGTCTTGAAAAAAGTCTACTTTAATAAAACCACGCCTTGGATAGACTTTAAAAATATTCTATAATAAATCTACGCCTTGGATAGGCCTTGAAAAAAGTCTTCTTTAATAAATCCACGCCATGGATAGGCCTTGAAAAAAGTCTTCTTTAATAAATCCACGCCATGGATAGGCCTTGAAAAAAGTCTTCTTTAATAAATCCACGCCATGGATAGGACTTGAAAAAAGTCTTCTTTTATAAATCCACGCCATGGATAGGCCTTGAAAAAAGTCTTCTTTAATAAATCCACGCCATGGATAGGCCTTGAAAAAAGTCTTCTTTAATAAATCCACGCCTTGGATAGGATAGGCCTTGCAAAAAGTCTTCTTTAATAAATCCACGCCATGGATAGGCCTTGAAAAAAGTCTTCTTTAATAAATCCACGCCATGGATAGGCCTTGAAAAAAGTCTTCTTTAATAAATGCACGCCTCTGATAGGCCCTGTCCTCTCCCCGTCCTCTGTAACATCAAACCATTGTAATGAATTTCATCAATGAATTCGATATGTTCAATGGAAAAATCTCCAGCTGAGTACACATCCACACACAAACAACACTTGTAGAAATTTCGAACTTTCTCCGAATATTCTACCGCATGTGGTAAAATTTTATTTCTGTTAATTCTAATCAAATAAACATTAATCTAAATATTATACCAGAGAAAATAGATCATTACAAAATGGGTCGATATCTGCTGCTGTGGCTGTGCGTGTGTGTGTAATTACATGTAACGCTAATAAAACAACAATTAGTTCTGAGAACACACTCCATACCGGGCGCAGATACCAATCCGAAGCGATCTGATCATTTTATTATGTTGTTCATACAAGAGGTGGCTCCAATGTGGCCTCAACCAAAGTGTGTATGAGTGGCTGTGTGTAATACCAATTGTAAGCAGCTTAATGTTAACTTAGTTAATTTCTTTTTTGTTTGTTTGTAATTTAAATTGGTTTTAGTATTATTATGTTGCCTTGGATAACATCTCATTTAGAAGAGGGGTATTTTGGCAAAAAATAGGTATATTCCCTTTTTTATGGTAAAAAGCAAAATGAACTAAGTCACAATTCAATTTATATAAAAATGGAGGCCTAACTGAGGAGTGGATTTATTAACGAATATTTTGTCAAGGCCTATCCAAGGCGTGGATTTATTAAAGAAGATTTTTTTCAAGGCCTATCCAAGGCGTGGATTTATTAAAGAAGACCTTTTTAAAGGCCTATCTAAGGCGTGGATTTATTAAAGAAGACTTTTTTCAAGACCTATCTAAGGCGTGGATTTATTAAAGAAGACTTTTTTCAAGACCTATCCAAGGCGTGGATTTATTAAAGACGACTTTTTTCAAGACCTATCCAAGGCGTGGATTTATTAAAGACGACTTTTTTAAGGCCTATCCAAGACGTGAATTTATTAAAGAAGACATTTTTCAAGGTGTTTTTAAAGCAGACTTTTTTTAGGCCTATCCAAGGCGTGGTTTATTAAAGAAGATTTTTTCAAGACCTATCCAAGGCGTGGATTTATTAAAGAATATTTTTCAAGGCCTATCCAAGGCGTGGATTTATTAAAGAATATTTTTTCAAGGCCTATCCAAGGCGTGGTTTTATTAAAGAAGACTTTTTTCAAGGCCTATCTAAGGCGTGGATTTATTAAAGAACATTTTTTCAAGGCCTATCCATGGCGTGAATTTATTAAAGAACATTTTTTCAAGGCCTATCCATGGCGTGAATTTATTAAAGAACATTTTTTCAAGGATTTATTAAAGAACATTTTTTCAAGGTCTATCCAAGGCGTGAATTTATTAAAGAATATTATTTTGAGATCATGTCTTGTTTTTGTAATTATAATTTTTTGTTCCGGTAGGCTTAAATATGTTGTGGCAATATAAGCCACAGTTGTCTTGACGTATTGGACAGATGTCATGAAACTTTATTAAAGTTTTTTTGAGTTTTTATATTTTTGTCTGATTCACTTTTTATTTTATTTTCGCCATCGTTTGCTTAGATTCCATATCGTATCCTGTCTTGCCTCTGATATTGACCAAGTTACTAAGGAAGCTGTGCTGTTGCTGCCTGACACATCTGTGCTATGAATGTTGTTATTTCCGCTGATAGCTAACCGAATGAAGGAGGTTAAATCTGTCAAGAAGTTGCAACTGCAGGGTAAGCTGTTTACTATCAGTGGCAACTAAATGTTCATTTAAAAATCTACGCCTAGATGGTTTTCTGAAAAAATATTCATTTAAAAATCTACGCCTAGATGGTTTTCTGAAAAAATATTCATTTAAAAAATCCACGCCTAGATGGTTCTCTGAAAAAATATTCATTTAAAAAATCCACGCCTAGATGGTTCTCTGAAAAACTATTCATTTAAAAATCCACGCCTAGATGGTTCTCCGAAAAAATATTCATTTAAAAATCCACGCCTAGATGGTTCTCTGAAAAAATATTCATTTAAAAAATCCACGCCTAGATGGTTCTCTGAAAAAATATTCATTTAAAAATCCACGTCTAAAAATATTCATTTAAAAAATCCACGCCTTTTGGTCTTCTGAAAAAATATTCATATTAGAAATCCACGCCTGGGTGGTCCTCTGAAAAAATATTCATTTAAAAAATCCACGCCTAGATGATTCTCTGAAAAAATATTCATTTCACAAATCCACGTCTGGATGGTCCTCTGAAAAAAATATTCATTTAAGAAATCCACGCCTTTTGCATGGATGAAAATAATTAATAATAATTTTTACAGTCGAAAAGATTTTTAAACTTTCAACTATGAAACCTGCAGCTGCGGTAAGTCTTCACGGGCCGAATACCTTCTACAGGACATCTATACTTGAAAAGACCTCTATAGGGAGAAAATAATTCATAATAATTGCCCATGGTTTTAAAGCCAGTTGAAGCTTCTTTATAGGCATAAGCACCTTCCATTGATTGTCTTTATTTACATGATCGCCTCTCGAGGGTAGCCTACATACATACAGGCCTTATAAAGGTGGTATATAGGAAAATTAGATTCACAACATCTATTGGTACATCACTTGCTGAAAGTTCTTCCTCAACAGAAGTCCTATAATTTTTCCCTCATAGATGTCTAAGACCCTCTATTGATGGTAATCTATAAGAAATTCCTCCGCATTCTAGAGTCACATTCTCTGAAAGGTAATCAAAAATATTTCATTAAAAAGAATCCCGTTTTGTATCATAGAGAAAACCCTTACGTTTTCACCCTCCACTACTCAGCAATAAAACA